TCCATTGATTTATACGTCTGTACTTACGCCAGTGCCATACTATTTTGATAACTGTAGCTTTGTAGTCTTGAAATCAGGAAGTGTGGGTCCTCCGACTTTATTGTCTTTCTCTCCCTTCTCCACCCCTGCACCAGGATCATCTTGGCTATTCAGGATCACAGAGTTGTGTAGAGTTGTGGTCTTTGTTCTATCCTAAAGAAGCTGTAGGGAGTTTGGATAAGGTCCAAGGAAGAATAATTAAAATAACCATGTGTTGCAATAGGCTATTCTTACTAGTTTGGCCCATCTGATGTCATCTGAAAGGATGAGGGCTCAGAGGGAGCTTATGATCAGGTTGTAAAATCATGAAGAGCAAGGGTGGCACAGGCTGGTTTGGGCACCAAATCTTAGATCCTGTAGAACTAGAAGATTGCCCAGTGAAGTTTGGAAGAGGCAAGGTTAGTGTAACCTGAACACGACAGTCGGTGTTCCACACTCATCCCAAATTAACGAAACTTCTTATCCCCCGGGAGGAATTAATATAAGCTAAAAATCATAAATACTGTAGCTTTAAAACATCTGTGGACCTTAATCCCCTAGGACGTAGAGGGATGTTTTGCGGCATGTTTCCTACCTGTTGAGGTTCATGCCCCGACCCTGTGCTCTCCCATACCCTGTCCCTGATGATGTGAGCTGAGTGGCAGTGAGTCTAGCCCTGTTTGATGGTTCTTGGGAGTTTCCAGTGAGCAACAGCCTTGCAGAATGTCCTCCCAGAGTGTGCTGGTGGGCAGGAGAGAGGTGCCCTGACCCTGTGCCCGGCCCGTCGGAGGGGTCATCTTTGCTCAAACCCAGCCAGTTAGTGCCTCCCTAACACGCAGCTGGACGGAGTCTGCCCACTGCGGGACTTGTCAGCCTTCCTTTAGGCACAGCCTTGCTCTCAAATCAAATTTGCTTTGCCATCCAACCACAGACCACCTTCTAGTCATACTTCGGAAACATGTTCAAATCCTGCCAAAATGTCTTTGGTTCAGGTTTGACTAGCTTGTTCTTAGCAAAATGCTATGCTAGTGGGAATGTTATTCTGACCACTTTTTCACCTTGCCTTTGTGTAGATGGGTTTTGTCCCTCTTCTGTGATTGGCTTGTCTAGTAGTGTTATTCTATGATGTAACTCTTTGGTCATGGAACTCGGAGAGTTTTAGGTGTGTGTTGTTTATGTACACGTGTGAAGGCTGATTTAACCTGATGAGTCAATACGAACCAGATCACAAAGGGCTGTTATCATTAGTCCAGATTTAATTTTTTAAGAAATCAAAGTTAGGTTTGTGATTTAGTGTCCTAGTAAAGTTTAGTAAATTCAGATATTTTTATAGTTTTATTGTCACTTTATTTCAATGGAAAAATGAATAGCAACAGAAGACAGTTTGAAGACTAGTCTGTCTTTAAAGTTCAGGAAAAGGTATATGAAATTAAAGTAGAACTTCCCCGTGTTGGATCAGTGATCCAAACAGTATGAATTTAAAAACATACCAGATTCAGATTTCAGCTGGAGGATTTTAGAGGTCATCTGGTTCAGTCCCTTCTTCCTGGTTAATCGTGAGGTAATTGAGATTCAGGAAGGTTAAATGACTTGCCCAAAACCACTCAGCTAGTTACTGGCAGAGCTAAGAGTCGAATAGCAGTTTCTTGCTGTGGTCTTGCTGTAACTTGGCACTTCCTAATTAGTGGTTAAAGAGACACATTGTGCGCGTGTGTGTTTACTTGAGTTTTACATTGAAAAGAGGGATTAAAATTGAGGGGTTAAAATTTATTCAGCATCTGTTTGCTAAACATTTTTAAAATCTACCATTGCGTGTGATTCTTACATAGTCCTATGAAGTAATTATTAACAGTCCCACTTTACAGATTAGGAAACCAGGCTGCAGGAAGATTACTAACTTGCCCAAGGTCATGTGACTGACTAGCAGTGGTATTTGAGCCTTGGGTCTGTGTGACCTGTTCCTGCCATGATACCCTGCTGTGGCTCTGGTGATGGTAACCGAAACCTTCTCTGGGGTGTGGGCAGTTGTGATGGTTATCTCAAAAATATCTCTTTTGCAGACTTCTCACCCACTCTGTAAAAGTACAGACATACACAGACGTGTGCAGAGAGTGTCCTTGTGGGAGAACCCACAGCCCTTAGCAGATGTGGGCTAATCTTCATACCATCTCTGTAGCATAGATGGCTTTTTCTGGTTGGGTGGCCGAGCCCAGAGAAATTCAGGGACTTGCCCAGCCCCTTATCACAAAGCCGCATGGCCCCGCTCCCAGTTCCGTTCTTTGGCCCGTCTAGCATAGATTTCACCACTTTTGTTCTTTCCTGTCTTGCACCAAGATTGTTTAAGTACTTCCCAAAAATAATGAGCCACGTGTGGGTGTGCTCATTCTCCAGAATGAATCACTGTGAAAGAGGCCGTGAACCAGCGCAAGGAGAGTGAGGATCTGGGCTCAGAGGCTCCCAGGTCCCCTGGCTGCTAATTGACGGGCTCTGAAGTGAGCTTCTTTTCAGAAGGCGGCTGCGGGTCTGGCCCGCACATCCCACTGTGCTCAGAATAGCCCTCTGGGAGTTGTTCGTTTTCCCTCCTTGCTTCCCGGAATAGCCCCGAGGCTGTTCTTGGTGCTGGACGTCAGGGCCGGTGTACTGAGAGGTGTGCTCGCCACGGGACCCCTTTTGTGCCTGAATGTCCCCACTGTCATGGAGAGGAATGGGTGTCAGCGACGTTCCTGGATGAGTAGTCAGGACTCCAACCTCAGTCAAAGAGATTTGGGTCGAGTGTTCTGAGAGCTGCAGAAGTAAATTTGAGTTAGCAGGAGGAATGAAAAGAGAGGGCAAATAAGGTTATTTGGGAGGAAAAAAATGAGGAGGTTCCTTAGTCTTTCCTTGTGTCCAAAGGGTTGGAATTGAAATTTAGGAGGAATTTACTTTTATAATTGGGATGCTAGTCTAAAGGGTACCTGCTTTAAACTTCCTGCCTTTAAAG